TAGGACGTTTGCCTTGTTTGCTGATATCTTGTGGCAAATGTCAGCAACTTAGTTGAAGCAGTGGGAGCTCGGTCTGTTTTAATTCCCTATTCCCTTCACTTATCCCTGTTTTTCATATCTACCTACTAGACACAGGAATTCAGTTCCGATTATATCAGCCTCGGTAGCACCATGGTTGCTGCAACGCTGGATGTCTACAAGGCGGCAATGGATAACCTGTTGCCAACACCAGCCAAGTCGCATTACATCTTCAACTTGAGAGACTTTAGCCGTGTCATTCTGGGCATCTGCCTGATCAACAAGGACCACGTAGAAGACAAGAAGACGTTCATTCGTCTGTGGGCGCATGAGGTCATGCGTGTTTTCTACGATCGTCTGACGGACGATCACGACCGAGAATGGCTTTTTGAGTGAGTTGAAAGTTTTGCTTGCGAACTCTCCAAGACATTGCTCCTATAAGTGTCTGTGGGCGAACAAGGGAAGAATAAGTAGTTGCGACAGCGAAAAGCATTGAATGGGCCTTAGGGGCAATAACGTCCAACTACGGTGCAACGGAAGGCGTCTTGTTGGAACCTGCTTCCGGTCTAGCTCATACCCCGGTCTCCGACGTTTTATGCAGCCACATAAGTGATACTTTTAGCTATAGTAATCAAACAATTAATTACTTGACACGCTTTTTCCCAGAGGTTAACTCTTTAATTGAAAGTATTCGCGTACATAAATTCTCCTGTTTAAGCGTTGTTACCTTCGACAAGGGGCATCCAAATCCTCTGACTTTCATCAACTGAACTCCGCGGAGTTTGAGTCGACAATTTTACGAAGTTATCAGTTAATGTCCAAGGACTAAACCGATCAAGCCACCAGCATTTTACGCAACTTCATGGATCCAATAAATCTTGCTGTTTTCGCCATCTTAAAATTCAGAAGTATTATTAAAATGTATGGGTTTTCCTTTATAAAAAGCAAACTTTAAATTGAACAAATCAGCTGAAATGACCGAGCGTTTCTGATCACTTATTTTATCAATATTCGAGCACCAGGACAGACCAATCGCCAAACGCCATCGAAAAAGTCGGGGGAGTTTATAATGGCAATTGCAGGCCTATTTTCGCCACCAGTAAACCATACTTTATCCTGGGAGGACATGTGAACTTTAAATCTGAGTCATTTGGACAATCAACATTTTTAGTTTACCACTTAGCTATTTGAGCAACGGTTTGACGACTGGAATAAAGTCAGTTAACCCGTCCGTTGGCAGCCTTCAAAACCAAGACCTTTAACGTGTTATGATGGGTCCGAATGCATGAGCTTGCTCATAATAAACAGTGCGCTGAGTTTCCGGTGGGAAAAGACTCTCAAGGGACGGCTTCAGTTTCTGTCTTCCCTCACATATGCGCCACTCAACTGTCCGAGCCTATCAACCGACTGATATTCGAATTAAGCGCAGTGTGTGGTGCGGATTGGGGGCTTACTTCTAGGCCTGACATCAAGCACCTCTCATTTACGGCAGTATTTTTACACTCTACGCGGACGCTGCGCAGGCCAGTTAACAAGTGTCATTAGCCAATATATGCCCCGTTTTGGTCCAGCCCATCTGCAACGCAGATAAGTGTGTGGACAAACACGCAGACATTATGCCGCACGTGATATCAGTCCACTGAGCGGCTCGGACAATGACCGGGGTCTGGAAATGAGAATGGAGAATGAAGTCGACGGGTCAACGCAATTTCTTCACTATAAACAGTCTGATACGCTTGAAATTATCATAGTGCACAAAAAGCCGTGGCTTGGAGGGTTTGCCAACTGACGGGATAATTCTGACGCGCGGTCAGCCCAGGGTGTGTTTGCGTAGAGTGGCTGACTGGCGGACTGAGAGTCAGGCTGTAATGGCTACTTCTTGATGTGAGCCTCCCACTCCGTAGGATCTGGACCAGGTGTGGCTGCGCCAGCCACCCGCAACCTCTCCCGCTTCCGGTCTCCATGGCTTGGTTATGACACCGGACCCAGATGGGGGAGAGTGAGAGAGTGTGGTAGACGCAACGCCAATCCACCCTCACTATAATCTAATTAATGCGCAAGTTACCACGTTTGTCTTCAGCT